ATAGGGGGTTACCAAACAGGCCTCAAAGTCTCTCAAATGTGTAAATAGATCTTCTTGACCAACTTCTTCTGTAGGGGACAAGTGAAGAGAGGAGAGAACCACCAGTGGGACCCCATTGCATATGAAAACATAGCTCTTGCTGAGGACTGGGTTTCCGGTAAGGGGTTATACTCGGATGACTTGGGTCGTTTGGATTGGACCGCAGTCGATCCACCTACAGGCAATGGGTTGCTCTCCGGGCCTGCAATTGACGACGAAGATCCATCGGTTTCAGGTTAGCCCAACTTTCAAACTAAAATGCGAAAAAAGAAGAAAAAAACAAAATAAGTTGATGGCATTTGATTTTATCTTGTGATGATCAGGTTTCAATGATTGTGAGATTTGGGATTTCTGATGGGCTGAAAATTAGCAAAGAAGAAAAAGTTGAAGGAGCATTTTTTCTGCAAAAATGGGTCTAACAGGAAACTAACTTGGGCAAATTCGTATGTGCTGCAAATAAAAATAATGAACCTTGTTATATATGCATAATATATTAAATAGATAAGCATTAATTAGTGTATTAGTAACTTATTTTAATAATTGTTTTTTTATCATGGAAAGGTCATGGTATACTTTTAGGGGCATAGTACGATTATTGCTATAATAGATCATGTTATAAAAGAAAAATAAAATGTTACTCATTTTATCTGAATTTATATTTCACTTGTTACACCCGATTCTACCTAATAGATTTTAGGATTCATTTCCGATAAGCTACGACAGTCGTTATCGACAACTGTTTTGGATTGAGATTATTAAATGAAATAAATCAAAATGACACATTAAACCTTTGTTGTTTACTACGTAACATTTTATTCTTTCTTCACTCTCTTTTCCTACATACATACGCCATGTGTTGATACATGCACTTATGTTCAAAGAGACAAAAAACAGACATTATGCTCCACCAAAAATTGTCCCCAGCTTTCTAAATAAAAACAAAATGGTTTTATTGACCTCAAGTGTTGCTCCATGCCCCAACAATAATGTCACATTGCTCTCCCTTCCTCATATAACTAACACAATCCTCCTACACTTGCCACCTCCTTTATATATATATATATATATATATATATATATATATATATATATATATATATATATATATATATATATATATATATATATATATATATATATATAAAATTTATTTATAGATTTTAAAAATAACATATAGCTAGGACGATAAACGTTTAAAAATATGGGACCCTACAAAAGTTAGGGACCTTGTATAGATGCACATGTTGCACACCCTTCGTGCTGCTCCTGGCTTGTGCTGGAGAGTAGGGGTGTAAACGAACCGAATCGAAGCGAATATCAAGATATTTGAATTTGTATTTGCTTAATTTTTTCGAATACGAATACGAATATGAGACGAATTAAAAATAAGATTTGAATTTGTATTTGATTAATATTCGAATACTTGACGAATTCTAAACAAATACTTTAATAATCATACTGCGTACTTTATATGATAGACCAGCATAGATTTTGAATAATTTAACTTACAATACTTCTTATACTTTATCTAAAGACATTAATACACTTTCACATCACACAAATTATATTTTATAAAATATAACTATTAAAAATTATATGCTTTAGATTTTGGTGTTACGTTAATTTGTTGAATTTTTAATAATTTATCTATATTACTTTACTTTGATCTTGAGACATGGTTTGTGTGTATATACATATATTCAAATTTTCGAATATCACCCGAATCGAATATACTTCTATTTGTATTTGTTTAATATTCGAATCAAAATTAATATTTGAATTTGAATTTGTATTTGAATAATGCGAATTCGAATCATTATATTCGAATACAAATCACGAATCAAACTAAAAGTATTTGATTTGTTTACATCCCTACTGGAGAGCAAACTAACTCCTACATCGGGTAAAGTAGGATTTCGACTCACATTTTAAAGTTCACCTAACTTCAATTGTATTATTTTTTTGTGGCCTAGTGAAAAATAAATTTAATAGAACTTGTCTCAAAACGGATAACATCATATTTTAGAAAACCAAGCAAACACTCGTGTATGTCAATTATTAGTGCATATGAAATACGGCGTATTTCACAAGAAGGATATGCTAAATCATACAAGAAGAGATAAATAATGATGGGATCATGTGAGATTTGACCTTCTTTTGTTTAGCCATTCAAAAACAATACAGTACCAAAAACAACACATTTTTATATTATGTGCGCTTGGACCATTAAGTCCTGCATTATGGATTGGTCTCATCACATATCTCAACTATTTAATTATCACTTGATATTAAAACACGTTGTGACTTGTGAGTCTCAAATCCCATTTTTAGTCAGATCATATTTAATCACGTGGCCATTTCATCTTTAATTAAACTGGTTGATTAGTTGCAAATAGACTCTCTTCCCCTTGAAACCAATACTTGAGAATGTAGCGCCAACACCTATATGATAACGAATCACTAGATGGATGGACTTCTAGATGAACAATCGGGTTTAATGTGCCACAAACCATTTTTCATACGAAGGCTAAAGACTAACATGTCGCTGGAAATGAAAGTCAATACGAGCACCTTAATTGACAAACGAGGTGGGCCTAAATCCCTTTTTGATACCATATCAAGAACCAATTTAATTAAAAGCTCTAACCTGTGATTATAGGCCTAAGTCAAATGGACCACGTGCATATTTTTGGATCTAGTTGTTTGAATCAAAAAAGCAAGAGGATGATTGAGATGAGAAGGTCCATGGTCAGTGGAACCGCTCTCATGTTCTTTATTTTAACGCAATGTCATGAAATCATGCCTGATTTCCCTTTACATGCCACCCAAGCGAGAGATTAGACTTAAACTTGCATTAAAGATACTTTTATGGTCTGATCATTCATATTTTGCCATTGTCTAATGCTAACTTTTCTCTCACTTTCTCTCTCATTCATTCTAAATAATTTTATCTCTTTTTCTTTTTCCTTGTTGATATTCCCATATAAATAAATTCTAATTATACACATGTTATTTTTCCACAACTTTTCAATGCTTTTCCTATGAGAAATGAAAATGAATTCTTCAAGAGTAAATTTCTACAAATAGATGGAGTGCACATAAAGAAAGTCTCACAAGGGGGAACCTTTGGCATTCCAAGTCCAAAGGAGTGACCACTTAAGGTCTATCCATTTGCTTTCAACCTCCTAATAGATTAGCAATTGACTTGGGAAAAATATATAGTACCACTTTCCCTTCTCTTTCTTTTTTTTCATAGGAAAAAAAAACTTGTAGTCATATCAATCAAATCATCAATGAACTTAATAAAAGCAGCGATTGGCCCGCCAATATAGACCCAAAAAAGAAATACATCCTCCAGCAAGTAAATGAAATTTGCACTTAAAATCAGAGACTTGGCCTACCAAAATGGACTTCCCATAAAATAAAATAAAAATAAAATAATTGGAGTATATCCAGTGAAGTGGTGGCAAGCAAAGCACACATAAATTTAAGTACAGATGTACCTACCCATCCCTCTTCAGACATGAGTTTTAGAGGATAAAGTAAACCCTTAGAAAAACTTTATGTTTGAATTATGAAGTTTGAATTAAAATTATTTTTAATTTAATTCATTTTTAAATTAGTACAAAATAAAAAATGTACTAAGTTTTTATCATTTTTAAATTTTACTCTATCCCAAAATAAAAGAAATTACAAAAGACAACATTTGTCCTCAAAGTAAAAAATTGCACATTTTTATCTTTAAAATAGAAGTTTATACTTTAACATTATGATACTGTATTATCCTACTTTATTTTTTTAGTATTATATAGTGACATTACGATCACTGTACTCTTATTCTTATTTAGTATTCCCTCCATTTTCAAAAACACTTCTTCTTTTTTTTCCACTTCCAACAAAACACTTTCACTTTCTATTAAAAAACCACTTTTACCCTTACTTTTTCATACCCTACCTATCACATCATACTTTTTCTCTAATAATTTATCCATCACATCTTACTTTTACCCATTACATCAAGGGCAAAATTGGAAGTCAACTATAATTTTACACTTCTTTATTTTGGCTCCAAGTCAAAGTAGGAACCTTTTCTTTTGCAAACGGAGGGAGTAGATAAAAAACATAAAATTCATATTTTAATATTCTCTACATGGTTCCATGGTTTTACTACACTATCAACTGATCAAATATTTTCTTCTCCATTTACTTACGGAGTATTTTTTGTCAATCATTAGTTAAAATGTTCTTTTTATATGCAAATATTGCTTTTAAATTGTCATCAATATTTAAATAAATTAAATTTAAAATAAATTTAGTCAAATTTCATTATTGGCAATGAGAAAAAAGTTTTAACGAGATGGAGAGAATATATCAAAATCAAATAAATTGAAAATAAATTCGAGCACATAAATACCTGTAAAAATAAATCAAAATGTTACCTTGTTTGGAAAAGAACTTTCAATTGCTTCTTTGCCATCTCTGGCTTGTTGTTCCCATTGTCACAAAATATAACATCATGGCAAAATAAAAAGAACTAATTACGGAGTCTAATAACAAGTAAAATTTGCACTAAATAGGACTAAAACATAATGAATTTCCTAATATAGGACTTAAACTTTTTTATTCCCTAAATAGGACTTAATAATGACCTTGTGGGGGATATTTAGTTGAATAATGACTTTATGATAATGACCAAAGGTCCTACATTGAGAAATAAAAACATATGGTCCTATATTGAAAAAGTCATTATGTTTTAGTCCTATTTAGGTAAATTACTCTAATAACAATTGAAGGCAAGGATATATAGAGCACATAATTATAATAATAATAAGATACAACAAAAGTTTGACATTTTACAAATCAAGAACCAAAAACCTAAAACTCATAAAATAACAATGAAAATATGAGATCGATGATTCACAAGAGATAATAGGAAAATGAAAACCAGTCAAGAGAGAGAGGGGAGAAGTTAGGCTTCATTGCGTTCTTCTTCGGGTCGGTTCTCGGTCCATCTCATCAACGCGGTGGGGTCCACTCGCTCGCTCGTCAAAGGGTAAAGATGAGCCAATCTCCCTCGCCCCCGTTTGATTAATACGGGGGCGGGGGAGGGCGCCAATGGGCCGCTTCATGGGCAATTTGGGTATTGTGCAACAAGTTGGGTGGCAAGTTGTATAACGAATCAACCAAAGGATGAGAATGTGGGGCCGACGGAGCAATCTCCACCGCCCCTCCTAACTGCATCCGGCCTTCGTCGGCCGGATGGTGCGGCACTACCTCCTCCTCCTCCTCCAGAGGTAGCCTTTGGTAGGCCGCATTCATGTACGTGGCGGCAATCACCACCACCGGACCGGAAGCCACCAGTGCCCCCATCACATTCCCTCCCAACACCTGCCCCTGCCCGCCCGCCAAGTAAACGGTCAGCCCCGTGGTCCTGAGGGGCGACGGGGACGGCAAAAACGCCCCCGACAAGGACAATATCTCAAACTTCCCATGTAGAGTCACCACGCCCTCCGGAGCATTGAGCTGCCGGAGAGTGACGTCAGCCACCACCCCGGTGCCGCTCAACACCGACACACCGCGGTGGCAGCGCTGGGCGAAGGTGGAGATGCAGTCCACTATATCACTCCCACTGCTGATTTCCAGGACATGGCTATGGAGGGAATTGGGGCTTTCCTTGGTGATCACAATTGGGGGTTTGGGTTTGTTCTTAGATCCGGGAGGCCGGCCCCGGGGGCGGCGGCCGGAGCTGCCCGGTTCAGAAATGACAAGTGCCCCCTGGCCAACAGTAGGGTTCAATTCATGATGATTCCCATCACTGCTGGTATCCGCCATGAAATCTTGCTCCCTTCTCTTCTCTTCTTCATCTTCTTCCTCACCACTGTTCCTCATGAGATGCAGTTCTGGATCCCCCCCTCCACCCACCCCCATCTCATTCATTGCCACTACATTCCCAGTCCACCACCTATTAGCCATATATGGACAGCTTTTCTCCTCAATTTCACACTTTGACCAAAATATAGAGAGAAGAGATGGAATTTACAATTTTGCCCCAAGAAGACTACTCTTATCTCCAAGTTCTTGAAACAAGGCTCAGAGAAAGAAAATCAGAGCTTTAAATAGTTACCCAAATCACACTCAAACCCAGAAGCAAAAGCAAAAACCCCATAGACAGAAATTTCTCAGGGAACTGAAAAAAAAAAAGTACAAATCTTTATACCCACTGGAAGCTTTTTACCATGGGAGGGAAAGGAATCAAGACTACTACAGATTGTTGAAGGTAGGGGAGCTGATGAGATCTGAGAGGGATTTGAAACAAAGAAAGAAAACCCTTAGCTTATTTATGATCAGACTTTCATTTCGTCATCTTCTTGAGAGATTCTTGAGACCGACCCACATCACACAGTTCCCAAGAAAACAAAAAATCAAAGGAAAAGGGTCATCAACAGTGAAAAATGAGCTGTTTGTAGGGGTAAAACTTGTACTCTCACAGATCTTCTGAGCAAGAAAAGTGGTATGGAATAAGAAGGGGGGAAGAAAAGAGAGAAAGATGGAGATGAGTGAGTATTAGTACCTGTAGGGCTGTATCTATCTATCTATCTATCAGATCAGATTCAGTTGGTACGGGCTGTGGCCTTTGTGTGGGTCACACTCAATTTTATACCCATGATGAATGAAGGAGGGAGTTGTTGGTCTCTTTCCCTTCTCTATCTCTCTCTCTCTCTGGGTTTTTTTCTCGAACAGGTGGTGTGGTGTGGTGTGGTGTACGAACCACAACTTGACTACATATTATGCAAAGTAGTAAGCCTTTTTTAAAGGGTGTTGTAACTCATAACATGACAATATTTCAATTGGGGCATGTTTGTGCTCCGTTTATAAAATTAATAGTTTTAATGCTGAGTAAACTTGTCCACATAGCCACAAAGCAATTCCTTTCAACTGAGAGAGGGAATATATTGCTATTGACATGTAAACGATCGCAGCACATCCATGATTTAATATGCTCGTTGGATTCTAGTTGTTGGATTATACTTCCTCCGTCTCTCATAGATCCTTCCATTAGTCTTTTTTATTTGTCTTATATACATCTTTTCATTACCTTTTTTAACATTTAAAATATCACAACTACCCTCACTTACTTTCTTTATTACACCTTTTCCACCTTATTTAATACACCCCACCCATTTTCATTAAGGATATTTTGGTAAACTTTTATTTTTTTTTCAACCTTCCTTAAAAACCACCAAAAGTCAAAACGAGAAGATCTTAGGGGGGCGGAGGGAGTATTATTTAGATTGTAGCACTTCAGGTTCAATAACATGTCGTTGATCGATACACCTCAATCACCTACTTTGAGCGTTGTGTGACATCCATCAAATCTCTTCATGTGTTTCACGAGATTTGCAACACCTTTGCCCCATAAACCGGTACCTCATCACATATTCTAAGCTATAAGCCTGGCATATTCCTAGTCTTGGGCTGCCCACTTCATGGAGTGTGTTTCTTGATGTACTCATTTTTAGTTCGGGTGTTGACCCTTTATGATATTGAGCCGGTTTATCCTCTTCTTTACGGAACAAACTAGATCATTTACTTGGTCAACCTTGAATTTATACCCATCAATATCCAACATAAGTTTTTTGTCTTGGTTTTCAAAGTAAATCTAGAACATCAAATATTAATTCAAAACGTTATAGCTAATCATAACCACTATCGGTTAGAGAGGTGATGAATGGGGCATAAACATCTAAACACAAGTTACCCCATGTTAGGCACAACATAAGGAAACTTATTTTGCAGGAAAGACGAATATCCTCATGATTGGTGTAACATGGTCATGACTTAACCAAAGTTGTAAAGCGTCCTTACGCATTTGTTGGGCCTACAACAAACTAGACCATGTTCGGTGAGAACATCACACGCGGGATTGTTATTGGCCTTGACATAGGAAACATCGATATGGCTCATGGCATCATGGTGGATGAGGTCATAGCCTGATTCATCCCCAATGGTGAGCATAGCTTGAGTCATTCTGGTGGTTGGTGTGGCTTTAATTCTTATATCATGGCCCTTTTTAGCATCTAATTGGTTTCATGACATTGTTATTGACATGTAAATGATTGTAGCACATCCATTATTTAATATGCTTGTTAGGTTCTAGTTGTTGGATTATATTATTTGGATTGTAGCACTTCAGGTCCAATAACATGTCGTTGATCGATACACCTCAATAATCCGACATCCATCAAATCTCTTCATGTGTTCCACGAGATTTGCAACACCTTCACCCCATAATCTTGTACCTCATCGCCTATTCTAAGCTATAAGTTAGGTTATTCTAGTGTCTTGGGCAGCCCACTTCATGGAGTGTGTTTCTTGATGTAATTATTCATAGTTCAGGTGTTGACCTCTGATGATATTGATTCGATTTATCCTCTTCTTAGGGGAACAAACTAAATCATTTACTTGGTCAACCTTGAATTTATACCCATCAATATCCAACATAAGTTTTTTGTTTTGGTTTTCAAAGTAAATCTAGAACATCAAAAATTAATTCAAAATGTTATAGCTAATCTTAATAACCACTATCGGCTAAAGAGGTGAAGGATGGGGCATAGACATCTAAAACAGAAGTTACCCTGTGTTAGGAAGAACATAAAGAAACTTATTTTGCAAGAAAGGCAAACACCCTCATGATTGGTGTAACATGGCCATGACCTAACCAAAGCTGTAAAGCGCCCTCACGCGTTTGTTGGGTCTACAACAAACTAGGCCATGTTCAGTGAGAACATCACACACAGGATTGTTGTTGGCTTTGACATATGAAACATCTATATGGCTCGTGGCATCATGGTGGATGAGGTCATGGCCTGATCCATCCCCAATGGTGAGGCATATCCTGGGTCGTCATCCCAATGGTTGGTGTCGCTCTAATTCTGGTATCCTGGCCCATGTTAGTAGTTGCACATTTAGTGGTAGTTTTGTTTTTGGGGGGTATAATTGTTTTAGTGATATTTTGTAATTGAACTTTTAAATCAACCTAAAAACGTTTAAACGAATCCTATAAGAGTGATGATTACATGATCTCAAGGTCCACATTTAAATTTTGGACCTTCTCACATTTTTCATGAGCTTGCATGTGGATATTTTATTTTTTGAAAAAGATTGCTTCTTTTATACTAGAAATGCACTAAGGTCCATATAAAAAAACATAGACCTTAAGTTCACGAAAGAATTTGTCATCCTATAAATGGTTTTAAAAATGATGGTGAAGATCAGTTGGCCAGACTTATAATTCTAGATCAAGTTTTGAATGATAAGTTAAGCTGAGAAAAATAATTACCAAAATAAAAATACATAAGTCATCGAAAGGATATAGGCAGAAACTCATGTAGTGTGATTATTATTAACACTTTTGATAAAGCAAGGACAATAATGTAGTTTAAAGTCTACAAGAAAATTAAGAGAATGAAATTTGAATCCCCTCAAATGGGGATTAACAAGAGTAGTTATAGCTGAATAATGAAACATCATTACATGTGATCTTAAAGTAGTCCAAATGTGATCAATGAGGTTATATCTATGAATCGATTGTGTTTTGAGACTACCACTCTTGGATTTATCCTTTGAACCATAGCCCTTTGAATTTAGTGTCACATCACATATTGCAAGTGACCAGTATGATCTGATATTGTTTGTTGGCATGTGGGTCCTAGTTTGACTAACCCTTACATTGATACGAATCTTGTACGATTCGTACCGGGATAGGGAAGAACTTCGAGCGTTCTTCAAGCTCCAAGAAAGGGGAGGCAAAGAGAGAAGGGAAACTTCGAGCGTTTCTGGGCTCCAAGAAAAAAGAGACGAGTGATTAAGAGAATTCTTGATTATTGATTGATTGAATAATAATAACGAAAGGTTACAATATATAAAGATGCATAAAACCCTAATTGACCTAATGGGCTCGGGCCCATACTAAAACCTAAATCATCAATAATAATAATAATAACTACTAAATAATAATATAACTAATTAAAATATTATAAGTAACTATCCGTATCATTCCCACCCCCTTAAAAACCACCTTGTCCTCAAGGTGGAGGCTCCCACTCGTGCTTCTGGACTGGAGAGATAATGCTAAACCAAAAAAGCAGTCCACTCTTTGAATCTTCAACCATCTTGTATCTTGGAGCAAACCGAGGGACATGCGAGATAGAGCCAATACCCAGTGTAGGTTCTCTCGGTGAAACTAGGTGCTCTGTCTTGACCGCATCAACATTGTCAAACAACTTAATGGTGTCAAATGAAATGGGGTTGTCTGCGCGCTTATTATCTGCATCTGCCACCTTGTTGGGACCTTCGAGAAGGGCAAGCTCTTTACTATTTTCAACGACGTTGGACCTTTCGTCATTTTCATTCCTGAGTTCAGGCCTACTGTCTATAACATCCCCAACATGTGATTCGACACTTGAGTCATCCTTTAATTCCTTTTCATGAGACTCTGTGTTTTGTACGGTGACCACCAGAGCCAAATTTGGTGGAGAAAGTGGGGCACTAGTGAGGTTCTGGATGACCCTTATCATGTTTGTTTTAAAATTTTGTAACTCCAACGGAATCAAACTCGGCAAAATTGGGGGACCACAGACCAAATCCTGTATCGCGCAAGACATTTCAATGTCAAATGCGTGTAAGTCAAAATCATAATTCGGCTTACCTCCCATAGAACGAAAGGGCTGGAGATTCTTTATAAGTTCATCTATTTGATCGAAAAGTGTGCACACTCCGTCGTCGTGCTTAATTTCGCCATAAAGAACGTTCTCTAATAGAGCAATAAGTTTGTCCAATGAATGGGTACACACAATCAAAATCTCTAGCCGCTTGAATCGAGCCTCCATTTGAGAAGAAAAATCGGGTTGCATTTTTTTCTTGGAGTGTGGTGCAAATTGATCTGACGGCTGCTAGAAACAAATTAGAGTGGATCTCTCCAATTGCCCTCTCTAATTGAGTGCGGCCTTGGTTCCAGACTACTTCGTAAAAACAGGGACAAAGCAATATGGTGGCGGATCGGCACAGAAAGCTCCAGGGAAATTACTCCAATGGCTACACTTTAATAAATTGGTTGCCAACAATCAAATCCCCTCCAATTGATAACTGTGCACTAGCAAACCCCTTTAAAAGTGATTTTTGCTACAAGCAATTTGCAGGGTTTCTTTAGCCGGCGGCAAATCTGTCAATTTTTTTTGGTTTTTTTGGGTTCGTGGGATGTTCAAATTAATGAAAGCACCAATTGATACGAATCTTGTACGATTCGTACCGGGATAGGGAAGAACTTCGAGCGTTTTTCAAGCTCCAAGAAAGGGGAGGCAAAGAAAGAAGGGAAACTTCGAGCGTTTCCGGGCTCCAAGAAAAAAGAGACGAGTGATTAAGAGAATTCTTGATTATTGATTGATTGAGTAATAATAACGAAGGGTTACAATATATAAAGATGCATAAACCCTAATTGACCTAATGGGCTCGGGCCCATACTAAAACCCTAAATCATCATCAACAATAATAATAATAATAATAATAACTACTAAATAATAATATAACTAATTAAAATATTATAAGTAACTATCCTATCATACACCCTTACGTATGCTAAGCTCGGGCTACCCTTACAAAATTACAACTAGCCATGAAAGATGCCTTATGGATAATTTCGTTTATAATCCACGTACACCTGGGTAGTTCTCAACTCGAAAGTTGTTCAATCGGCCACAATCTAAAAACGACATGTTGGGCCACATTTCATCACTACGCTCAATCACTTTTCTCCAAATGCAATGTCGTACACCCCGAGTTAGTTTACCTTGACTCGATCAATTTGGGTTATTCCCATCAATTCGAGTTTGATATTTTCTATCATTACTACCCCTCCAAATGTAATTGTTTTTAAGTATATACTTAATATGAGAGATACTACTAATTTAATAAAGTACTTTGATATCTTTATCAATTGTCAGTCACTTGTGCCTTTAACTAACAACTACTTGAATACATCTATTCAAATAATTCTACTTTTGAGTTTTATGTCTAGCTATAGATGCTAGTTTGTATCTGATTCAATTAAGTGATATTTCATTCAACCTCTCATTTTATTGTAAATATTATTTCTATTAATGTGATTAAATCAGTTTATATTGTAAAAAACGCAATTTCTTTCAAAATTTCAAGCCCATATTAGAGCATTGGAAATGGTTGTAACATCGGGGGCGTCAACAAGCTTATGACACCGGTTGGGCGTTAAACACCGCTCCCATGACGGCGTTACACGGGCGTTATGGCCCTTGTGTCAAACTTTTGACGTTGCTTCTTTTCCCGTTGGCGCAGCACCCCCCCCCCCCC